GTTTAGTTGCTGAGCATTTAAGGTGTTGACCGAACGGTGCAACCTGAGGAATTAAATCGATTTTCAATTTTAATACGATCAGTTATACCCAGTATCTTTGTTTTTCCGGCTGCTATGTGGGCCGACTGATTGCATTTTTTCGCATGACACAGATTGCAGTTTTACTGCCATTGGCGCTGGTTACAAGTTATACAAAAACTTGTATTACAAGGCCTCGTTTGCTGAGTATCAATAGAATCTTCTATTTATAAATATTTTAGCTTTGTTTTGGTTATACGATGATACTCTTGATTCAAAGTTTCAAAGCTTTCAATAATACCTTAGGTTGGAAAGATCCAGACAGTAGAGAAGGGGAAAGCCGAAATATAGTGGCAAGGGCACAACCCCCATTGCATATAATAGGCCAAGCCGAAAATAAAAAACAAAACTATCAATGAAATTTTTAAAAGCACAGTCCCCGTCAAAGTACCTTCTTTAGGGTTATGGAAATTTGAAAGCTTTTTGGTTTTACTAATAAATCTCATCAGTGATTCGGTCTTGTTTCTCTAAATACGTGAAAGTAAAATTAAGGATGTGAATAAGGTGTGCTGTTTTAAAATCATGTCCATTTATTGGACTGGGAATACTCATACGCCTGTCGGGCGAACTTATGTAATAATCGGTGTTATAACAGAGTTTGCGACTCAAAAGACTCAGTCTGACTACAGATCAGGGCTCACACTGGAAGAGAATTGTTCAATGGCTTTCGCTGGAACTGTAAGTTCGATCGACTATGTGACGATTTCGACCCTAATTGTATCTTGTATCTTCACTCTACCAGTAAGGCCCAGTATCTTTGTTTCTCCTCCCTTTGGGTCGTATTTTGCTGCCGGTTGCAAACTATTCGCGAAAAGTGTGTTTTACTAATTTGTGATACGTTTGGTGTCTTATGGTTTTTATCATTGTAATATACCATTCTTTATTATTTTAGTTTTGGTTTTTAGGATTCCAGTCGATTGAAAAGGGTTCAGCTACACCTATAGCGGAATGCATATTTGAATTTTATGTTTCAGCGAGAGGTACATTGTATTCTTGATAATTTATTTTACATTTTGAGGAAGTATCAGGGAGCGTGGAAAAGAAATATCAGAAGTATTTGCTGCATAAGGCATTTTTTTACGATCAACTGATTGGTTAACTTAACAGATACTGTGTTGTAACTCGGTGATTGTTTACAGTTGTTTCTGGCATCTTATGTTAATGCATCATTCACCTTCTATCGTACAAAACACGTGATTCTAAACCGGGATGTAAGAGTTGCTCTAATTCGCTTCAGCATAAGGGAAACGGGAAATTCAATGGTTATTCCTGGACATGAAATCATGTAAATTTAATTCATATTTCTTGAAATATTCAGTCGCACTTTGACCACTAAGCATTTCTATAATCTAAAGGTTTTGTTCAAATTTAATTATATATTGAAGTTATGCTGGAAAAATCCTTCTCGACGGAAACTGGAGTACCGATATAGTGAACTGAATACATTGGACTGAACTGTTTCCAACATATACATACTTTGTATCCCAGCGGACAATCTATGCTTAACTTTCATGTTTTTTTCTCATAGTTTTACTCAGTCTTTGACACTTTGTCCCTCCGTATTGCTTACTTTCAAATGCTTACAACTCAAAAAGAAAATCCTAACCACTAAAAGTTTCATTTTAATATCCCTACTTAGTGAGTATGGCTTGCATTGAGAACATCTCGGTGGATGTAACAGTTTCATGGGTTCCTACAAGTTTTTAATATGATTGTGGAATTTTATAATGCAAGGCGAGAAGTCCGTCAATTTTGTATTTTGGTTATAAAAAGCTTTGACCCACTGGGTACACTTGCTTGGCGCCTTTGATCTTATCTTCATAAGTGAATGGGTTTCTGCTCAATTAACATGTATCTTTGCATTTGATTGTTTACTCTTTAGATATCAATGCTCGCCTGGCTATGGAATAAATTTATTTGTGGTTATAAACTTCCACACCTGTGTTTCACCAATCGCGAAAAAGTAGATGTTCAAGGTTTGCCTTACGTTTGCATCCAAAACTTAAGTCAATTTCAACCCACAGGAACAAAGAGGTGTTTCATTATTTCTGCTTTGCTGTGTTGTCTATCTCTTGCATTTTCTTCCCGGTTTTAGGAGAAACTTACCTTGCATCTTAAAACTTCCTTGTTATTCCTTATTTGTTTGGTAATCAAACATTCCTCGTGGTGCTGACGTATTTCGAATTGTCAGTTTCATATAGACTTAATTCTTGAAAACTAATTGTCAGAGAATACCTCAGACATCAGTGCTTCGTGATTGCTGAAACACCAATGAAATGACGCTTGTATTTGATAAGTTTTGGGATTACTATCGATCATTAGCATCTGGATGCCAAGATACCTGTCAGTTTCTGAGCCGAAGATGGGTGTCTTTCTGGAGACAAAAGAAATTAACACGAGTTCCACTTTGCAACAAGATATTGTAGAAGCATTGAAAACCGAAAGAAAGCTGTTACAAACACAAAACCCATGGAGATGTTCTAACTACCGAGCACAGATAATGAGATGTTTGATTTCACCATATCCTACGCGCGGAGTACTTTGAGGTTTTAACCAAATATCAACTCTGAGAAAAAATCCACCTTGTTGCTTGAAACAAAAATCAATTAGTGTGGCAAGATAGTAAAGGAAGGAACAAGGAAGTTAAGAATAGAATTTCCAGAAGGAGTAGGTGTGTAGATGTTGCAAACAGTCGCAATTCATTCGATGAACAATTTTGATGTTCCAGTTTCTGTTTAAAAGGAATTTTTGGTGTCTTATCAAGAAATGAAAAAGGCCGATTGAAGAGCCTTATTATCAAGTTTACAAGGAAGAACAAACACATAAAAACTTGTTAAGGATGAATGAATTTTCCAAGAAATATGAATGAAAATATGGATCGAAATAAAATATGAACGGACGATTTTGCTGACACTTGTCAATGTACGTGTTACCCGAAAATATGGGACTCCAAGAAAAATCTATAATCTTTTCTGAAACGAATGCAGGTAGCTCGAATAAAAATTAAAATAGGAAATTCGAAGTTGAATAAATATATCCCTGTACGTGTAAAAGCACCAAGTTTTGTTATAAAAAGTTGTTGGCTAACACAAAAACATTGGTAACAACTGCAAATTATTCCGAAATCGCGAAAAAAAAATAGCTTAACTTATACCTCATTCAGACCAAAGCATCTTTGAAAGCTATTTTGTTGCACACGGTTTAAAATTGTATTCTTCAGAAAAGCTGCTTTAATTGATGTTTCTAAGAAAAGATTATAGACTATTGTTTATAATCTAAAATGTTACAAACTATTTGTTTCAGCCGTATCTAATAATACTGCGCCACCTCGGAACATTAGCAAATGCAATTTCATAAACCAGCGAAATTTTATGTTGTCGAAAATGCGCACTCATCGTTACACGAACACATATGTTCAATCCATGTCCAATCGATAAAACTCTTATATGTAGTTTTTTTCATACAGTCATTTTATAATACACGAAATTTTTATCTTACATAGTGTATGTAACTTTAACTTTTTGTAAAAATCATGCAATTGGCAGCCTAAGGAGCCTGAAGATTTGAATATTTTTATCATCTTTCTATCTATCTCCATCTATGTCCAGGTTCTGTGTGTGATCAGAAAGTGGCGGAGGTTAGTGGTGTGACTGTGGGCTGATATTTTTGAAGTTCTTTTTTCTGAACTTCTCTTTGATTCCATGACTCAGCTCTCCGTCACTTCTGGAATACTATTGACAATGGAGCAGCCTGTGGCTAATAAATAGCTCTGTTTTATGTTATCGAAAGACAAAATAGAAACTCTCTCTCAGACGTTGTACTGTTAAAAATGCTCATTTTTTCTCCTTTTCTTACCATGTTCGTCCTGGATGTATTTCACTGTACAACTTAATTCCGGGAAACAATGAGACTCTCGGGAAAGATAAACCAATAATACTCGTGAACAAATCACGCGCGTCTGATTAGCTGAGAAAGAGTGCATTTTTTATGTAACACGAATGCAAAGTTGTTACAGGAATTCATGCAAATTACAATAGCGTGCGCGTTGTCAAAATTTCGTTTGTCTTGACTTTCTGTGATGCCTTTTTCATGTACATTACTAACAAGTAATAACATGATTTCTCTTTCCACAAAGAGTCATTTCGGTTCACGTCACGAGGGAGATCACTCTAGGAAGAAATGAAACCTCCTTACCAATCAAAAGTTAAAGGGACCTTCCTCTGACATGAAAATGGAGGAAAAAGTTTCAGGAAAATGCAGATTAAGTCAAGGGTGGTATCAAGCCCCCCATTACTCAATAACAACAACAAGTGATACCTTTGTGAAACTTAAAAGTTTGCTTGTTTATTGAAATCACACTCAGCAATTAAAAACAAAGATATGAAATCATCATTATAAAAACCCTTAACATGACATTACGTGACATTTCTAACGATGTAGTTGCTGTAATAAGCAAACTTATTGTTAAAAAAAGGGATTAAAAACAAAAGGACTTTAATAAAAAAAACAACTTCTGGACTGAATGTCTGCAGTGCTAAAATATTTTTGCTTCTCAGCCTTGGCTTCCTAAGACTCCTGATACTATCAGCTACAGTCGGTACAGATTTAAGCTACATTGCTAATTGAAAATACGATCTCATGCATGGGAAACGGTGAATTTCTCTCTTCTCAAAATTGTAATTTTTATTAAAACAGTGTCTATCGAATTCGTAATATGAGCAACGCCACAGCGGCGCCGAGAACACATCTCACTAAAAGCTGGACTACTAACGACACTAACTTAAAAATGTAAAAAAGAAAGAGCCACTGTGGGTTCAAATATTACTGCTTATCTTGCGGGTAACAAAAAAAGCGTTGAATGTTTATGATATAATAAACACCTGATTTCCGTTAGCATTTTGTCTTCAACACGGTGAAGATACCTACAACGCGATAAGTTCGTTTCGTTCATCATATAGGCGTGGCTGATAATGTGGGCGTGGCCTATAATATGGGCGTGGCCTATAGTATGTTGGACGTTGGCAAACATATTGGGAACAATATACATAGTAAACCAAGTGCTTTGACCTACAACCCCACCAAAAACACTCCCGGATCGTAACGCATGTATGCGAAGCTATCTTGGTTTCAATTTCCCAGTATCCTCCAATATTGGAACACCAACACTTATCCCAGTAGGTAACGGTGCCTTTTCCACCTGGACACAGATTGCATGGGTGAATTGGCGGAAATGATCTCGCATTTCGACGACTGCGATGGTGCGTTCCTGTTGTAGAAAGAAAAGATACAACTGCATTAGATGTGTCACAACAATTTAAAGTTTGCGAAACAAGAGCAAAACATTCAGAGAAATACCTCGATTAATTTGGCGCAGGAACTTACGACATCTAGAAATTTTATAAATTTCTATCACCTTCAAGATTCACTAGATGTCTATATATTTTGCATTCTTTAATTCTTTCAAGGAACAGTTTGGTTTGGGTTCTCTTCCTAAATTAATAAAAGTCACAAGGAAAGCGCGAACGCAATTTAGCCTTCTGTTTTTTTTCGGTATACGCATTTCAAGCTCCTCTGTCCATGACTCACCTTCTGTCTCAACCCTCTTAGAAGTCAATGAGTCGTCCATTATTTTCACCTGATATATCGGGTATTGTGTACAAAAGTTTGCCAACTCCTTGCTCAGTTCAGACCGATTAGCCATCTCTTTGTCCACTATCCACTTGCTGTCAATAATTTTGGTCTTGTCCTTGTCTAATTCCTGCAAAACAGCAACAGGATTTCTTAGTATTTTTCAGCTATCCCTAAGCAAAAGAGAAATCATGCGTCTCCTGTACTTCTCACCAATCGGTGCACTAGTCAGCTAGCAAGCAGGACAATTCCTAATTCTTGTAAAACGGCAACCAGATGTTTTAGAATTTTTCAGAAAACTTTCTGTAAAAGAGAAACTATGCGTATCCCACAGTGTTCACAAATCAGTACACTGTATTCTTTGGTCAGCCAGCCGCCAGGACAAAACTATCGAAACCCGTACCCACATATTTCTCCTCTTGAATTTTTATTGGTTTCTCAACAATAGACTGGGATACCTAGTTAAGTTTCCAAAATGTTCCCAGCTTCTTATAATGATCCAAGAAGTGAGACATTTAAGTGGCAGCACCTCGAATGATAATTATAGCGAATAGTTAACAAATAAAGACTTAACACCAGTTGTGTTTTTAACTAAAAGATGAAAGATTAGGGAATTTCGTGACCGTTTTATTTCTTTGCCATCTAATAATGTTTAAATAATACAGTTTCTCTGAGTCGTTTGTCTGAAGAAAGGATCATGTCCTTACCTCTGTCCGGTCAAGATCACTCTCGAGTTTTGCTGGTGTCGGCATCTCTTCTGACAGTGGCATAAGGTAGCATATCTTTTTTTCCGGCAACAGCATCATAGTCATATTCTGTTTTACGATAAAAGAGGAATTTTTCGATAATCCCAATGTTGTTTAAACACTGGTATTTCATTTACACGAAAACATAAATTTGTAAGCATAATGAATATGTCCCCTTTGTCTTGTCTAGTAAAGAGTAGCTGATCATGTTCAGCGTTGTCCTAGTTGGCTTAAAGAGTTCTAATCAGGACTTGCTATGCTTGAAACACGATAAAAAGATTGTGCTTTATAATGAGTCAGTTGGGTTTGAACTGATTAAACACTTTTTTTAGGTTTGGTTGAGGACTGGATAAATCCTAATGTCTTTACACCGCTCGACGCTAAAACAAATAGACTTACCGTCTTAAAGTCGTGCAAAATATTGCTTCCGTCCACGTCATTATGAGCAGGAACTTTAAACAGTTCAGTTTGCTTTTCGGTGGCCACTTCGATTGTCTCGTTGTACTCTGTCCCAGTCTCGCTGATTTGAACTTTGTAATCCACAACCTGTGAAACAGAAAATGCTCAAATTAGAGCGGAGTCTTCTTATATTCAGAACGGTGGGCTGACCTTTGAATTTTGACAGGTTTGTTGAGATATGTAGTAAAAATATTTACGTAGAATGTAGCTAGCAAGGATGACAGGAATCGCGATAACGCGTCGGTCCGAGTGAAGTTTAATTACAACATTGTGGCGAGCAAAGGGATTTGTATCTCTAATGAAAGATGCATTTCTAAATGCAGCGAAGCTTAAATTTTAAATCCAGTTATTTCAGTAATTGGTTTTGAAACGTTTGATTTTTTCCAAAAATTATATAAGCGAGGTTATCAGAAAATGACGGTAAAAGAAGACAGAGAAGGAAAAAAAGGCAAGTTCTTCATGGCATGCAAGATAAATTACTGCTGAGCCTTTTGTTACTGATTATTAGATTGGGAGGAAATAGTTGACCTTCTCGGAAGGAGAGCGAGCGGAACGGACGGGACTTGCAGATGTCCAGTTTGCTGTGGCAACAAGCAGCAGGATTACGAGGGCTGGTTTCTACAAAGAACGAACAAAATACATAGAGATTGTCATTAATTATTTTAATTAATTTCTTATTATCACTGAAAAACACGAGATGAAGCCCTTAGTCAACCCATAAAAGTTCATCTAACTCCTACTTTCAAATTTTTTACTTTTATAAAAACTGTTGCCAACAAGATGATGCTGCACTGGGAAAAATGGGAGACATCCTTTAGACTCTTTCTGTGTAACTTAGTCGACATTCAATAATCAAAGTTTAGAAACAAAGATGCAGTTAAAAGCCAATCATAATAATGATGACAATATTCAGTAAAATACAGATACACAGTTAACGAAAAGAGGCCATGATCAATGCATCAGTTCTCGAAGTATGTTTCAGTTGTTTGTGTGGTGCATGCAATTATAACTAGGCGATATCTAGATAGATAGATAGATAGTTTAATCTCAAATGCATTTGCAGCCCGAGGGCTGAATTACACATTTTTACAATCCAAGAAATTTAAAATTTAAAATTCAAAAACCTAATTACACGTCTTATTATACCAGCAATTTACAATATAATAACATGATAGTAAATTAAATAAAATACATTAGCTATAAATGTAAACTAATTAAAATAAATTTAAATTAATTAAAAGTATCTACATTATCATTATCATTATTATTACTATAATTATCACGCGTGCCGTAACAAAAATAATAGATATCGTATCGATAAAAATCTAGCCATTAAACCTCCTTGCCATAGCAAATATAAAAGTGTTCATCGTTCTCGAAGTGCGAAGGCGTGGCATATTAAATTGGCGCTTATTTTTGAAGTTATAGCTGGGTTTATGTATGGGTGGAAGAAGCGCCTTTAACTTGTGGCTAGGGTTGTCTAAGATACCTTTAAAAAGCTTCTGACATAGAAATTCGTAATGTTCTAAGATGGGTCGTATTCCTAAATCTTGAGCAACCGCGCAATCACCCGCAGTTATAATGGAAATTGACCGTTTCTCAATACGTAAAAGCTCATTCTTCAGATATTGCGGAAGTGCATTATAGAAGACAGGTATCGCGTACTCTGTTACAGATCTTACACATGATGTGTAGAAAAGTACTAGGTCTTGTAAGGGAACCCTAGCTCTCTTTAGTTGCACTAAAAAATACAACCTCTTACTGGCCTTTTTGATTACTTCTGATATATGACTGTTCCAGGTCAAGTCGCTAACTATATTAAGGCCCAGGAGCTTTACGCTACTAACTACCTCCAACTCTTTGCCTTCAATTACTATGGGATCAAAGAACCCGGGCCTTTTAGAAAATGAGATCCGAAGCTCTTTGCACTTATCAGAATTCAAGTGAACTCTATTTTCTCGTGACCACTCACTAACACAATCTGCTATATTTTGGGCGTGACTTTCACTCTCTTTTGGTATCATCTCCGAGGCTGTTGTATCATCAACGTATTTCCATAGTGGATACGCGATTTCAAGGTCATTTATCATAAGCACAAATAACCATGGGCCCAATTTTGTGCCCTGTGGTACTCGGAGGGCACAGATCCCCACTCCGAAAAGCACTCCGCAGCCAGCTTAATTCTTTGTGATCTATCAGAAAGAAAGTCAACTATCCAATTGGTAATACTAACTGGCAATTTACACTTAGTACGCAGTTTTCTAATCAGAATTTCATGGTCGATAAAATCAAAGGCCTTTCGATAATCAAATACGATTGTTCTTATAGTAGCGCCATTTCCATCAGTGTTAATTGACCAATTATGTAACATGCTAATTAAGGCCATAGTCGTGGAAGAGTTTGGTATTGCCCCGTATTGGCTGTCGTCAATGATACTCATAACTGCTGGTTTGACGTAGTCGTCCACAATAAACCCTTCTGCGACCTTAGAAATGCATGGAGTAAGCGAGATAGGTCTTAGGTCCTTTTTCAGTTCCTTTACTGATTTCTTTTTGGGCAGGGGTGTCACGTCAGCCAACTTCCACATTTTTGGTAAATGCTGCTCGGAGTAGGAGGCATTAAGGATTTCTGTCACTGGGAAAGCCACTGAATCTGAATATTCCTTCAGTAGCCAATTGGGAATTCTATCAGGCCCACACGCTTTCCCAGGGTTAAGGTGAGACAGAACCTTCTGAACACGTTGTTCACCCACGTGCAGGATCTCTAGTGTTGTATTCGCCTCCATGGGGAGAAACTCTAGTGGAGTTGGCAGTCTGTACTCCTCCAGCGGTTCTAAAAACGCGGCATTGATGGTGTTGGCCTTTTCTATTAATGACAATTCTGAAAAACCTTCCACGTCAATCTGGCTCAGAAGGTCGCCATTTTTCCTTTTTGAGCCGCTCAGACGCTTTACTTCGTCCCACCATTTCTTTGGGGCTTCTTGTCTTAAATTCTGAATTCTCACTTCATAATATTTAGCTCTGCATGCCTTTCTTTCCCGGTTAACCAGATTTCGGAAGAACTTGAATTGGGCAGAGTCGCCGCCATATGATTTGAACGCTTTTTGTCTTTTCAAAATCATTGACTTCAGCTTATGGTCAATCCAAGGAGCGTCCGCACTACAGGTGCGAATTTCTTTCTCAGGCATCAGAATATCAAGCCCTGTATGTACAGCAGTGTGGAAAATCTCCCACTTTTCCTGGCAACTATCCGTAGGAGCGAACAATAAAGGCCAATCAATAGAGGTTAGATATCTCCCCAAGGCAGCCTTGTTACTCTCACGTAAGTCACGCCTTTTAACAACGTGCTTTCTGTTTACATCACGTTTACCATCTTTTGGCGACACAACAACGGCGTTGTGATCCGACAACCCGAATGGAGGGTAGGCTTGTGGCGGATTATAGTATTCTTGCATGTTAGTGAGCACCAAGTCTAATATGGCATCCTTCCGGGTCTGAACTTGAACTATTTGCTGGAGACGAAAGTGATTCAGCAAGCCCTTAATATCCAAGCGGTTGAAATCTCCTGTGACGACCAATCCACAGTTGGGATATCGCGTCTCCGCTAGGACGAGGGACTGGAACAAATGCTCCCGGATAGATGTCCCATCGGCCTTGGGGGTGATAGATCACTGCCGCGATTATGCAGGAAAACCCCGGGGAGGCGGTTTGGTCTTAGATGGAGCCACAATGTCTCATGATTATCACAGCACTTTAAATCGTTCAGTTGTTTATATTTGCACCGTTTTTCTTGAATATAGACACACACACCACCGTGTTCTAGTGTCTTCCTGTCCTCACGCACAATAGCAAACCCGGGGATGTCAACAACGGTGTCCAACACAGAGTCCTTTAGACAGGTTTCCGTAACGAACGCAAGGTTGATATGATTACGAGTGATAAACTCGCTAACTTCATCCATTTTGGGGCTAAAGACATGACATTCGCTAACATGATCTTAGGAACTTTGGGTGACCATTCAGTACTGGCTGCTCTGTTTTTCCTTGGTGCAATCTATAACAATGCAGTTGTTTAGATTGCTACGTGGAAAGGTGTCATTTTGAATATTTAATATGTTCGCCAGTTGGTTATGTAAATGAGGTTTCCTGTGAAGGAAGTTCTTGGCAAAGAAACACCCATTAAAGTTCGGAAATTGCTGAGTCTTGCGTGCTCCATTCCCCATGCAAATCCCAATCTGCCTTTGTTTGCGCTGTCCTGCTCTTGTCCCTCGACGTGTAGGTCTTTGCCGTGTTATTCCCAGATCAGATAAGTTGCGCCATAACTCACAACCGAGCGACTTCTTCGTCGTTGAAGATAAAATGGCATTCAGTGCCGCTCTTGAATAAAATATCGCCATGTAACTAGAGGCCAATATTATAAAAATCTACTTGTGATTAAAATAGTGCTCTTTGTCGTTTCGAGGAAGTTATTTTGAAGAAAGTTCGCTTAGAATCACGGAGCAGGAAAAAACGCGTGCTGCCTGTCAGGCGCTACGTCATAGAATCTAAACTTAAACAGTGTCTGATCACTTACAGCGAGCATAGTTGTTAGCTTCTTGGCTCAGCTTTGTCTGGTTCTCTCCGTCAATTTTCTTCTTGGTGTTGCTCGTCTCTCTTTGACTGAAGTTATCGTGCACTGTAACTCGGACGTGCTTTGCTTCTTTTTATGCCGTACTTAATGCTATGCATATGTATTATTAATGCATATTTGAATTTTATGTTTCAGCGAGAGGTACATTTTATTATTGGTAATTCATTTTCGATTTTGAGGAAGTATCAGGGAGCGTGGAAAAGAAATATCAGAAGTGCTTGCTGCATAAGGTATTTTGTTACGATTAACTGATGGGTTAATTTAACAAATACTGTTTTTTGACTTCGGTAATTGCTTACAGTTGTTTCTGGCATCTTATGTAAGTGAATCATTCACCTTCTATCGTTCAAAACGCGATTCTAAACCGGGATGTAGGAGTTGCTCTGATTCGCTTCAGCATAAAGGAAACGGGAAATTCAATGGTTATTCTTGGATATCTGATCATGTAATTCTGATTCATATTTCCGCATCCCAGCGGACAATCTATACTTAACTTCCTTGTTTTTATTTAATTACAGTAATCGCCACCTGTTTCAGCCAACAGTGTCTTTTCTCATAGTTGTTACTCAGTCTTTGACACTTCGTCTTACTTTATTGCTTCCTTTCAAATGCTTACA